AGGCTTGTTGGTGATGATACCTTTCAGTTATTCCTGTAAAAGTTTCTGCCCTCTGCCAAATTGGACCATCTCCAACCACAAGATATAATTATTTCTTATACCTACAGCAAAATGAAATCAATCACACCTTTAACCATTTTGATTCTCAGGCAACTTATGCAGGCTTGCCAAGAGCTAGCAAACACGATAGTCAGCTTTTCAGGCAAAAGACGGGAAAAAAATGCTGAAATCTCTTTAGGGAAAATCTTCTGCGTACGATTTCATTTATGTTGGGGACAAAGTGGGAGTGACATCAGTCTGAATTTAATTTGGGTGGACAGTATTTACACTGAGAAAAAGAAGATTAAGGTCCCCCAACAAATCATTTGAAAGGAAATGGATACAATTTACCTGACACATTTAGTTTGTCATCTTCAAGGCTGCCTCCGGCTGACCAGCTGTATAAATCAGGGCAAAGTGGTAGAAACGACATTCTATCCAGAATTGAGTGAATTTCTGTATAAGTGACAGAGCAAGATGACCCCAAGAACAAGATGGCTCCCAAGAATGTGTTGATGGTGGGATTCAAATTCTAAGAAAGGTAGCTCTTGAAACTTTATATACGAACTTTATTAATGTTAATTTTAGGCAATTGATTGAAATGTCAGTCTTCCTCATTGGCTCATGTGATGGTTAGTTTTATGTGTCAACTTAGCCAGGCTCTAATGCCCAGTTATTTAATCAAGCATTAATCCAGGTGTTTCTACGAAGGTATCCTGCAGATGTGGTTAACATCTAAAAATCAGTTGACTTTACGTAAAGGAAATTACTCTCAATAATGTGGATGTGCCTCATCCAGTTGGTTGAAAGGCCAGAAGAGAACAAACTGGGGTTCCTCAAAGAGGAAGGAATTCTGCCTCACGACTGCAGCATCAAATGCAACCTGAGTTTCCAGCCTGCCGGCCTGCCCTACGGACTGTGGACCTGCCAGCTTCCACCATTGCGTAAGACAATCCTTTGAAAAAAAATCCCTTCCATCCTCTTTCGCTGGAGAACCTTGACTGATACATCTAGTATCCAACATACATTTAGGAAGTTACTGCTACCGTATTTAGCTAACTATAACACCGCCAGTTGGTCGGTGTTTCCATTATGCAATGTGCAGGAACGGCTCTCTTCTCTGCTTCATGTTGTTTCATGCAGTCCCGATTTAAACACACTTAAACGTTTACATTTTTATGCAGAAAACTGTCATCTTGGCTCCCCGTTGCTTCCAAATGAAGTTCAGCATCCTAATATTTATGAAGAAGTACCTGGGCTGGAGTTCACTCCGCTCACAGATTCACTGTGATCACGTAGAACTGCATAACTGAGAACCAAAAGTCCTCCATTCCGTTGACTGGGGCACAATGCGTGGATGAAATACCCAGCGGATCCCAACAGAGGCTTAAAGCGAATGGGAAGGGAGCATATCTTGGTGTTTAAAAGGAAAGCTTAGTGAGTATTCAAGAGCCAGGAACCCTAGATTTCAATTCCGGTTTCTCCAGTCATTAGCTGTAGCCATAGACAGGCCAAGCATCAGGCTTGTCCTCAAAATGAGGATAATAAAAAACCACCCACCCCCAAGAATGGTGAGAATCAATTGATATCCGAACTTGAGCTGCAAAAGTGTTCCAGGAAGGGGGACCCGTGCCAGGGCCCAAGAGTGGGCTCTTGTCTAACACTCAGAAATGAATTGTCTGAGAGACACACGTACTGACAAAGCAAAAGACATTATTGGAAAGGGGCGCCTGGGTGGAGAGCAGCAGGGTAAGGGACCCCAGGAGAACTGCTCTGCCACGTGGCTCACAGTCTCAGGTTTTATGGTAATGGGGTTAGTTTCTGGGTTGTCTCTGGCCAATCATCTTGCTTGGCCCATATTCAGTCTGACTCAGGGTCCTTCCTGGTGGTGCTCGCATCTCTCAGCCAAGATGGATTCCAGTGAAAAGGATTCTGGGAGGTTGGTAGGACATATTATAGACTGGCATCTCCTCCCTCCTTTCGGCCCCTCCCAAATTCTCCTGATTAGTTTTCGGTGGCAGCACCGTGTTCCTTATGGGGACCTCTTGCTGCGAGACAACTCATGTGAGTGGTTATCGTTGTGCCTGGCCAAGGAGGGTGGTTTCAGTCAACGCTTCCCTAACAAAAGCACCGTTCAAAGTTCTATTCATAAGCTTCCATCAGTGTTACCTTATTCCCTTTGGTCCCCTCAACCCCTGTGGGATAATACCCAGAAGCAGAAAACTGTACAGTGAGAATGTATACTAAAGGTTATTCCTATGCTCTCCTCTGCTTTAGTTCCTGCTAGAGTTATGACTCTATGGAAAAGGGAATATTGTATACTTAACACCTCCAGACACACACATTTATATGCAGCCATGGATGGTTCAATTTAGCTGCTATCTACTGAGATGTGTCATTGTGTGGAAAACAGAAATATGACCCCAGTTGCTGCCCTCAGGAAAGTGGGATCTTGTTGAGATAGATGGTACAATTCTATACCAAGGGCAGCTAAGCTGAGGGACCTGGCCAAGAATGTGCTCCCAGGAGCTGCTCTCAGAGAGCTGTCAATGTGCAGGTCCTTGCCTGCTGGGATCAGACTCCATGTGAAGGAGGGAGACAGTAACAACAATGAAAGAGGATTTGTCCAGAGAGCAATGAGCCCAAGGAGATGGATGAGGGGATATTCTTAACTTTGAAAGGAACAGTCATGGTTTCACAAAAGGATGGATTAGGAACTCCATTCTGAGTCAGAGTAAAATGGAGAGGTTTCCTCTCAACTGGTTCCCAAGCACTTAGCAACTTTTATCTTTCCCTAGAAAGATAGGAAGGGAAGGTAGAAAGGGAAGTTAAGCTCTCCACCCCCTGTGATATTGCAATTTATAATAAGAAATATATATTTTGTCTTTGTCCCCATTTCTGGCACAGAGATCCTAAAACCCTTGGAATTTCCTGTGATGAGAGGGATAAAGGCGCCTTGTGTTATATTAACAAGGTGGCTTTTGGACCCACCTAAGTATGGGGCCTGGTTACCAGAAGGACCAGTCACGTGATTAGAGGATTGGAACTTTCAGCCCCACCACATACCCTTTGCTTCCATGCCGCACCTGGGACTCCCAGGGGGGGGACAGTTCAACCACCAATGCCCAATGATTTAATCAATCTTGCCTATGTACTGCAGCCTCCCTAAAACCTCCTGAACTACAGGGTTCAGAGGGCTGCGCCATTGTGAACACGTGGAGATACGGGGAGAGTGACAAGCTCAGAGAGCATGCAAGCTACACGCCCTTCCCCATAGCTTAACCTGTGCATCTCGTCCATCTGGCTGTTCCTGAGTTACAGACTTTTATAATAAACCCGTAATCTGGTAAGTAAACATGTTTCTCTGGGTTCTGTGAGCCGCTCTAGCAAATTAATGGAACCCAAGAAGGGGGTCATTGGAACCTCCCACCTATAGCCAGTTAGAAGCACAGAGAACAAGCAGCAGAAACTGGGTGGGCAATCTTGTAGGACTAAAGCCCTTAAGCTGTGGGATCTGACGCCATCTCCAGGTGGACAGTGTCAGAAGTGAGTTGAATTGTAGGACAACCAGCTGGTGTCAGAGAATTGCTTAGTGTGGGGAAAAAAACCCATATGCTGGAGTTGCATGCAGAATCACACCACTCCTTGGGGGTGTGAAGGAGCCTCCTGCCTGAGGTGGGAGGAGATCTGAGAGAAGAGGGCAGGATTAGACATATGGAGTCTTTTTTTTTTTTTTTTTTTTTGCGGTACGCGGGGCCCTCACTGTTGTGGCCTCTCCCGTTGCGGAGCACAGGCTCCGGACGCGCGGGCTCAGCGGCCATGGCTCACGGGCCCAGCCGCTCCGTGGCATGTGGGATTTTCCTGGACCGGGGCACGAACCCGCGTCCCCTGCATCGGCAGGCGGACTCTCAACCACTGCGCCACCCGACATATGGAGTCTTAAACCCTCTGGCTGATTCTAGTTTAGGAAAGATACACAAATCACCTGCATATGAATTAGAAACCCATATTTGGTCTGACTCAGGGTTCTTCCTGGTTGCGCACGCATCTCTCAGCCAAGGCGCATCTCTCAGCCAAGATGGATTCCAGCGAGGATTCTGGGAGGTTGCTAGGACATATTATGGGCTGGCGTCTCCTCCCTCCTTTTGGCCCCTCCCTAATTCTCCCCGTTAGTTTTCAGCGGCAGCACTGTGTTCCTTATGGGGACCTCTTGTTGCGAGACAACTCATGTGAGTGATCATCATTGGGCCTGGCCGAGGTGGGCGGTTTCAGTCAATGCTTCCCTAACATCTCTGGGCCTGGTTTTCTAATCTATGAAGTGAGGAGTTTGGACTAAGTTAGGTTTGGGGGAAAAGAACGTTCTTCTGAATATTAATAAATTTTATATTTAAGAAAGGTCTGAGAAACTTAATTTAAGAAAATGAAAGAAAGTTCTCTCCTGCAGAAGGTGCCTTGTCAAGGTGTTTAATATGTTACTGTGCATTGTGAAGCTCCAAAAGGCAGATATAGTATACAATATTTCCCAAGGTATTTGCTTATAAAATCACATGTGCATGGAGCCTTTCAATCAGTAGCAATCTGAGGAACTTACTTTGAGAAACACTAAACTAGATAATCTGTAAAGTGTCTTTTAATTCTAATATTCTTTTTTTTTTAACATCTTCACTGGAGTATAATGGCTATACAATGTTCTGTTAGTTTCTGTTGTATAACAAAGTGAATCAGCTGTATGTATACATAGATCCCCATATCTCCTCCCTCTTGCGTCTCCCTCCCACCCTCCCTATCCCACCCCTCTAGATGGTCACAAAGCACCAGCTGATCTCCCTGTGCTATGCGGCTGCTTCCCACTAGCTATTTATTTTACATTTGGTAGTGTGTATATGTCCATGCCACTCTCTCACTTTGTCTTATTGTATCAAGCTGGAATGGTATGAAGAAAATGGGCCTGTGTCAGGTACATTAATGACATGCTAAAGTGGGAAACATGTTTCATATTTACCAGTATCTTCTTTAGACTTTTTTCTCTTTCTAATGGCAACACCATTCTCACTGTCAGCCCAGCTGGAAACTTCAGTACTTAACAGGCAACCTTGACTCTCAGCTGTCAGTCTATCCATTGCTAAATCCTGATAATTCATCCTTGGTGTTATCTCTGAAACTCATTTCCCAGTCAGTAACCATGGCCCCAGGCTTTACTCATGGACCTGTTTCTTGATTATTGCTTCACTGGTAGAAACACTGAAAATCTCTCTAACTTATGAGGGCATGAAAAATCTCCTTCTCTCTGCTTGTCTATTCTTTACCACGAAGCCAGAGATCTTTCTTCTAAACCATGAATCTAATCAGGTTACTCACCTTCTCAGAAATCTTCAAAGGTCCCACAGTTGTTACAGAATAAAATTTGAAATTCTTCAAGGTCATTCATGCTCTAGCCCTAAATTACCCTACATTTCCTATCTCTACGAGCCAAGTTCACTCCTCCTTAAAAACATCTTATTTCATGCCTTTTCGACTCTGTTAATATAATTTTCTCTCTTGGGATTCCCACCTCTCTTCTCTTGTTATCAAAACATTTGTCTCCCATAAAATATTAGTATGATTCAAGACAGTTCTATCGCCGCCTCTTCTTTGAAACTTCCCCTGAGCCCTTATTTAGCCATGCACTCTCCCTTCTCCATATGTGGTTAGAACCTCCTTTATCTAATAAGTCCCCTGCCGGTATTAAAGTGATTTGTAAACTCATGCTAATCATTTTTCAAAGCTTTTTTTAAAGCTCTGCCTCCAGTTCCATTATACCTGATCCCATTCATTTGCTCGCTCATTCAACAACTATTTATTGTGTACCAGGCACCGTGGAAATATAAGCAGGGGTAAGATCCTGCAACCAGTCCCTTTGTTCCCCACAGGACAGCTCCAGGTGCTTGAGGGGAGGCTCCAGCGGGCAGCCCATCAACGATCTCCCACGTCCTTCCCAAGCAGCTATGAGCAGAGCGCACTGCGCAAGCCCCGAATACCGCGCTGTGATTGCTCCTTTGGCACAGGTGGTAAGATTCTCTCCTTTGAGATCCTTAGAACGCAACATTAAAAAAACACCTGTCCTTTGATCAAACCTCCAAAGCCTTATTTTCAGATTCATCCTATTAAGGCTCTGAAACAAGCCTATACTCAACACGCTGCAAATCCTCGCGCGCTTACTAGAGTATTATTTACTGTAAAAGTGTGCGATAAACACACAGAAGTCCCCAAAGCTGAAGGCTGGAAAGATGCAGTAGGAAGATAAATAAGCTTTGATGATGATTTCAATGGATGGTAATTTCTCGCTTCCACGGATACTCCACAAACACAGCTGTCAGAAGTGCGCTGTGTAAATCAGATGCTAATTAAATTAAATTCCCACTAGAATTAAGGCAGCAAAGCATTTTGTCTTGTTTTCTTGCAACCAGGGCTCTCAATCAAGACAGCTGGGACACTGGCATTTCAGGTCCGTGGAGGAGACAGCTGCCGTGAAGCAAAGCAACTGCGCGCATAGTTAAATTGCCATCGGTAACAGGAAAGTAGATGGCATTTTTGACAACACTAGTAACGTTTAAAACATGAACCAACTAGTGGAAACAGGGCTGGTCTAGGAAAGAAGGGACCTGGGTTCTGATGCAAGTTTTGGCAAAATCATTTTACAACTAGCTTCAGTTACCTGCTTCCTGGCCCCCACCTCCCATCCGCCTGTCCTTCCTTCTTTCCTTCTACTGAATATTTATTGAGTGGAAACTACTGACAGGCCATGTAGTGGGTCCTGGACATACAACAATACAAAAGACACTCCCTGTCCTCTGGATGCTCCTGGTCTTTTTGAAGAATTAGGAAGTGGGATTCTGTGATCTCAGCATCTTCTGGGACTTAGAGCTTATCATTCCAAATATGATCTTTAAGAAACAAACAAAAAAATATGATCTTTCATTCAACCAGCATTTAGGTAATATCAACTCTGTTTTTCAGAGTTCCATCCCATCTCTTTGTTGAAGGATACGGAAGACACATCCCTGCCCTTGCCTTTAGTTTTTAGAGTATGGTTAGAAATAAAAGCATGCATGATTGAAACAACACTTGAAATATTCCACAGCTACAGATAAGCAGATATAAGAAAAATATTACATATATTATGTAGAGAAGTATTGAGGCTAAAGCTTGGGCAAGGAGTCATTCAGTGAATGCTTTTTTTCACTCATTTATTCATTCATGAAACATTTACTAAATACCTACTATGTGTCAGATTCTGGGCTGTGTGCTGGGGACACCAAAGAGACAGTCTCTGCCTTCAAGGAGCTTCTACTTAATTGGAGAGGCAAATACATAAAAAGTTAATTATAATAAAATGTGGTTACAGCAATGATAGAATCATTAGAATAGGATGCACAGGGAAGAGAAATTTTCTTTAAAAACAAACTCAAAGGACTATTGAAAGTATTTCATCTCCTCCATACTTTCAATTGCCTCTAGATTTTGTGTTCCACATATCACTCCCCATCAATACTCTAAGACAAAATTCTGGTGGAAGGTAACCATACATGGTATATTTACAAGAAAGACCCCAGGATAGGGTAGCAATCTCCCTCCTAAACACAGTCTGATACAAATATTAATATTTACTTATTCAAGAATACATAATGTTACAACAATAGAAAAATGGAAAATCAAACTGGGATATTCATAAAATGGAATACAACCCAGCGATCAAAAGGGATGAACTGCTGATATACACAACAAAATTAAATCTCAAAAATATTGTGCTGAGTGCAGCAAGCCTTAAACAAAGAGTACATACTATGTGATTCCATTATTATAAAATTTATTTTATAATATTACTATATAAAATATTTTTATATAATAATTTTTTATTATTTTTATTTGTTTTTTATAATTTTTATTTATTTTTAAATAATTTTATTACAAAAATCACATACTATGTGATTCCATTATTATAAAAATCTAGAACCGGAAAAACTGATCTATGGTGGAAAAAAATTAGAATGGTGGTTGCCTCTGGGAAGTAGGAGAGGGGATTGATTGGGAAGGGGCATGAGGAACCCGGAGCGGGGGTGTCATGGTAATGTTCTGTACCTTGATAGTGGGTTAGATCATGTACACAGGTGGAGTCATTGGATTACACAATACATAATTAAGATTTGTATTACCGTAGATGGAATAAACCAATATTGAACTCGAGGTAATGATCTGCATGCTGAAGTATTTAGAGGGAAGTGTGCTGATGTCTGCACTTTACTTTCAAATGCATCAGAAGTAAGATGGATTAATGGATCGATAGAGGAGTGAATAGGTGGATAGAAATAAAGCAAGTCTAGTAAAATATTAATGGTACAATCTAGCCAGTGGATATCAGGGTATTCACTTATAATATTCTTTCAACTTGACTGTATTTCATAATAAAATTTGGGAGGTGGAAAGGATACATGATGTTCTCAAAGAGTGGGAGTGACAGCTGTTTGGCACTCTCTTCTAGAAACCGTGCATCTCCCTAGAGTCCTGGTATAGGGTCGAGCCCCTGGACTCCTGTGAGGCAGTGGTTCTTAATCCTAGGAGCATATTCCTACCGCACAGGAGAATCCCCTGTGGGAGTTTAAAAAAAATCCATATATCAGGGGCACACCCTTGGAATTCTGATTTCAAGAGGTCTGGAGTGGGGACCCAGATATCTGTGTCTTTAAAAGCTCCCCGGATAAGTTTTATAGGAACCCCAGGTTCCTTCCACCACAAGGAATGAAATTCTCTGTCCACCAAAGGGGTCCCCAAATAGAAAGCATCCATCACAATGGCTTTCTTAAGCCTCCTCTGGGGCCCTTCCTTGCTTAGTAGTTACCACGCTGAGAAAATAACTAGACAGAGTGATGGAGGTGATGGTGTGATGGTTCCCGCCAGGAGCATGGGAACAAGCAAGTCAAAGGAGGTGAAACGTGATGATGTTGTGGTATCTCTTTCAGCTCAGGATGCCTAATTCCATGTGAAAGGCAGTGCTTAAGGCTGGAGATGAAAAGAGGAGAACTTGTGTGAGAAGGTTAACCAGCTCTAGGTTTTTGGTGGCTTATTTATATTCCCTGACTTCTAAGTGGAAGTAAATTCTTCAATTTCCCCTTCTTGTTTTCATTTCTCTTTCCCCATCCACTGTTCCTTCACCCCTCCTCCTTTCTCCTCTATCACTTTAAAATGCAAACACACAGACATTACTTATATAGCTATGTTGATGTCTGCTTTCTGTCCCTTTCCCTCCCACTCAGGCTCTGGAAAGTTATCCTGCTCTGTTCATGCTTATAGCATCCATAACCTCTAGCACAAGACCTATGCAAATAGCAGGTGTATGAAAGAATTTAATTCAAAGAAAGGTTGGAGGTGAAAAGTAGGTGGAGACTATTTTCTACCTTGTTTAAAGATAGAATGAAAGTTTTGACAGCTTCCCTGAATGTCCTACCATAAATCAATTCTTTATCATCAGGAGCTATTTTTTTTCCTTTTTGCCACATATTTTTGAAATATAACCACTCGGAAATTATCCAGTAGTGACATCTAGTGAGCTGACTTTAACTATTATGTAGAGTTGAGAGCTTTCTTCAAATACTGTCTTTCTTAGTTCCCAAAACGGCTGAAAAAAATATTGCTCTGAGTTGGTATTTCTGCAGGGAGAAACTGAAAATGGTCCACATTACTCAAAAGGAAAAAACAACATACAGATCTACCTGTGAAACCCATTTCCAATGGTTAGTGTGACTCCATACCTCTCACCCCAGTCCACTTAAGAAGTGTGTTATAATGTTTGTCTTTGCCTAGGAACTCAAGCTACAAAAATATTACACACCATTTCACTGGAAGCTGCCACAGACTGATTCCTGAGGTGAACATCTGGACATGTGTTCCAGAACTGATGGGGAAAAAACCTTCCATGGGCCATAGCAGAAACAAGATGAAAATCTTTGACTGGGCGGTTATACATTAGAGAGTGAATAATAATGTAGTGTGTAAAAGGATGAAAAAAAAGTGGATTTAAAGAAAGGTGAGCTACTTCCAAGAAACAGCAGAATAAGTGACTCCCAAAATTCATAGAATATCGTGACTAACTTGGCATTTCCTATTGCATGATCAAAGCAAGAGAAAACTTTGTCTCTTGGTTTATAAGCCAACGTATCTTTTTTTTATATTTTAAATCTTAGTTCTATGATTCTTGATGCATGAAGAGAAAAAAATAAAACTAGAACAAAACTGCCACCTATGGTATAAAAATGATAACTCAGAGGAGAGACTAAGAGACACAATCTGAAGGAAAAGCAGACTCTCAGGATTCTGGGCTTTGAGCATAATGAAGGAAATGCTGTCACTGCAGACACTGATTGATAAGCTGGCTTTTGTTAAGAGCCTACTATGTGCAGGCAGAATGCACAGCGCTAGGAGTTTTCACTGTTGAATTATCACACTATCACACTATAATCCATTTTCCAAAAGTCTGTGGAGCAAACAATGTACAAGTGTTCTATTCCTTACCATTTCAGTGTTTTATTTCTCCATGAGAAAGATGCATCTGAAAAGGTAGTTATCTATTTCAGAGTTCCTCAGTATCAGGGTCAGGACTCAATAAACTGTGAAATTGATTAAATGAGTCTTAAACATCAATTTTTTAAAAAGAAATGAAGTGGAGTAAAAAAGAAAATATCAGAGAGCAGGTAATAAAGATAGGTAGTCTCATGAAATTTTTGTTTTAGTTTTATAGATATGTGTATATACTGGATCTCAGTGAAAGATGTGTTTCTTTCTGTGGGTCAAGCTTAAAAAGTTTGAAGAACACTGATCTAGTTCATTGCTCTGAAATGTACAATGGTTTCCATCCAGTGGACAAATCAAGAGTGAATTTTGTGTAAGAATAAAAATCAACTACAAGAAAAGAACAGCAAAAAGCACAAACATGGGGAGGCTAAACAGTATGCTACAAAACAACCAATGGATCTCTGGAAGAAATCAAAGAAGAAATTAAAAAATACCTGGAGACAAATGAAAACAAAAACACAACGATCCAAAACTTACGGGATGTAGCAAAAGCCATTCTAAGAAGGAAGTTTATAGAGATACAAGCCTACCTCAGGAAATAAGAAAAATCTCAATTACACAACGTAACTTTACACCTAATGGAACTAGAAAAAGAAGAACAAACATAACCCAAACTTAGAAGGAAAGAAATCATAAAGATCAGAGCAGAAATAAATGAAACAGAGGCTAAAGAAACAATAGAAAAGATCAACAAAACCAAGATTCTTTGAAAAGATATATAAACTCATTTATTTAGCCAAACTTGTCGAAAAAAGAGAGCCCAAATCAATAAAATCAGAAATGAAGGCAAAATTATAACTAACACCATAGAAATACAAAGGATCATAAGAGATTACTACCAACAATTATACACCAATAAAATGGACAACCTAGAAGAAATGGAAAAATTCCTAGGAAGTTATACTCTTCCAAGACTGAGCCAGGAAGAAATAGAAAATATGAACAGACCAATTACCAGTAATGAAATTTAATCAGTAATTTTAAAACTCCCAGCAAACAAAAGTCCAGGACCAGATGGCTTCACAGGTGAATTCTACCAAACATTTAGAGAAGAGTTAACACCTATCATTCTCAAACTATTCCAAAACATTTCAGAGGAAGGAACACTTCTGAATTTATTTTATGAGGCCAGCATCACCCTGATACCAAAACCAGACAAAGATATCACACAAAAAGAAAATTACAGGCCAGTGTCACTGATGAATATAGATGTAAAATCCTCAACAAAATATTAGCAAACTGAATTCAACAATAAGTTAAAAGGATCATGCACCATGATCAAGTGGGATTTATTCCAGGGATGCAGTGATGGTTCAATATCAGCAAATCAATCAGTGTGATACACCACATTAACAATTTGAAGAACAAAAATTATATGAACATCTCAAGAGATTCAGAAAAAGTTTTTGACAAAATTTGACATCCACTTATGATAAAAAAAAAAAACTCAAAGTGGGTATAGAGGGAACATAACTCAACAATATAAATGCTATGTATGATAAACCCACAGCTAAGATCATACTTAATGGTGAAAAGCTGAAAGCATTTCCTCTAAGATTAGGAATGAGAAAAGGATGCCCATTCTTACAACTTTTATTCAACATTTTTGGAAGTCCTAGCCACAGCAATCAGACAAGAAAAAGAAATAAAA